TAAAGAAACACACAGTCCTACAAAAGTTGTTCTCAGAGAAATATCATTGAGGTGGGGGTACCTCTTCCCAGGATGCTCAAAGTTCTCTGTGATAGAAGCACAAATTAATAGCCTGATGAAGACACAATCTAATGCAGCTTTGAGAAGCCTAGGCCTGGGAAAACAGTTGCCCCTCACATTCCACAATGTTGTAGAGATTTTTTTTTTTTCCAAGAAAATGTCATTTGAAACATATTTACAACTGAACTCAACAGAGACTGTGAAATTGAACAGGCACTGCTCATTTGTTTGAGTTTTTTGGTAAACATTTTGCTGGTTTTTTTGTTTTTTGTTTTTTTTTTTATGTTTTTTGTTTTTTTGTTTCTTTCTCGTTTTGCATCAACTTTTATCAGTCCATGCAACTTCAATGCCCTTGATGAAGAATGCATAATAAGCCATACTTCTTTTTTTTTTCTTAAAAAAAAAAGACTTCCTTCTGCATAAAGAGATATATTTGCCACATCAGTCCCTGTAGCACAGTTTTCAAAACCATTCTGTCAAAAATACAGTAATACAAGACTGGCTTTAGTGTCACTAGCTTACACTGCTTTTCGTGTATTTAGGCCACCTTTTGTTACTGGTACTGTATCATGCAATAAAAGTTATCAAAGGCTTAATCTAGGGTCCCCGTAGGCTAGTGCCACTGAAGCGCTTTCACAATCTCAACATACATTTGAATTGCAACACACAGATATTTCTAAAGAGTATTAACTACTGAACCCTTTTATCATTAAAAAAAAAAAAAACTACTTACAACCATTGAAGAAAAATTGCAACAAAAAAAATGTAAAAATTGACCGTCTCCAACTTGTCCCCTTTACTATTAACAATGTGACCAACAGATCTGTGGCACGACACAGTACAAAGAGTTGTCATGGCAATGAGTTTGGCTGATGCAAAGGTCATTGTGCAGGGTCAAAGGGCAAAATCAGTGGTCCATGTTATTCCCCCAGTGCAGGGATCCACTCCACCCACACAATTTTAAGGAATTAGAAAAAACAGGGCAACTACCAAAAAGTGCAAAATATAAAGAAGGCAGCTTTCAGCTCCTTCAGCATGGAGTTGAACATTCAATTTTGAGTTTTTATTATTGAACTTGAATAGCCTGCACATTAAAAAAAAAATTAATGTAGAAACCCCAATTCTTAAAGTCCAGGAAGCATGCAGCTGGTTAATGTTAACAAAAGACTTTTGACAGGAACATGTAAACTATATTGAATGTCATGCTTGGGGCCTATCTGCCAGCAAGATTGTAGAGTTGTTTCATGGAGAATGAATACTGTCCACTGATATGGGGTAACTTTCTGCAGCCTTCATTGTTTCACACAGTACATAGAATCTTCGTCTAGGTAGAGAACAGGCCCTGCTTTTGCTGTTTAAGATGTTCCTGTGCAATCTCTTCCGTTGAGTCCTTATGAAGCTACAAGTGACAAATCCAAGATTCTGCTCCCTGAGGACACGTTATATGAGACATAGCACTATTTTTGTTTTCTGCCTATCCTGAATGCTCTGTGAAACTTAACCTTAAATACCATCATGGAATAATCACAAAAAAAATATGTTTGCTAAAGGCCTTATATACTAATAAAGGACAGCGGTGCTTCCAACACTCTGAAATGCTCTGAAAACCAACTTTCCAATACTAAATACAACAAAATAACCTTCATAAAATATAACTTTTCTCCATTTACACTTTTTTAAAAGGATTAGTGTCCTATGCTTTTCAAGCACAGGAATCTGTGAAATATCTCCTAACATGGACAGATTTTTTTTTTTTTTTAATACATAACTTAAGAGCCTGGAGAGTTTTAACTCAAGTCCAGTCTCTAAACAAGGAATATTCTTGTTTACTTTAAAAATGGAAACAACACACAGTTCCATTATAATTGTTAAAAAGTTAGCTTTACAAACATGGGAATTTTAATTTAAAAAAAATTCTTAACAAAACTATACAGTGTACAAATTACTGTCTACAAGGTAGGCGGTTCATTACGAAGACCTCGTTCTTCTCGCTACTCGCAGCTTCCCAGATTCATTCACATATGTTTTAATGGAGCTGCCCACCCGAACATTACCCGACAACTATATTGCTATAATTAAGGTTTTGCCATGTCTTTATGTACAGTCTCCTTCACTGCCTCTCAGGTTTCTTTTTCCCCCTTAGGCAAGCCTTGACTGCTCACATCACTCTGGGGAAACACTCTTCAGAGGCACTGTGAGTGGTGGGCTGCAAAGCAATACAACAAAGGCTGGACAGTGCCACATGTTGGTGGCTGGAGACACCACCCCCTACAGATGCCCGTGGGTGACCTTCACCATCCTGAAGCTCTGCAGTCTGGGTAAGGAAGGGGCGTGCAAGACCTGCAAATGTGGGGCCCTTCGTCACAATATACTTCCTGGTTTTTTTTTCTTTAAAAAAAAAAAAAAAAGGCTAAAAGTGGATTTGAGATTATCTATAGTAGTGCTTTTTTAATAAGTTTATCTCAAAAGAAAAGAAGGGAAATTCTTTAGAAAAAGAAGGAACACTTGCCCTAGGCCTCTGTACCCAAGAGGCAGGCAGGGATGCCACAGTGCGCCATGTTGTTTAGCAAGAATTGTTCATTCACTGACGGCAAGAAGAGGAGTCTGCCTGGAAAGAATACTGTGTCCTGTAAGGTTGCATTCCTTACCAAATAGGACAGAAATACATAAAGATCTTGGCTGGGAGGATTTGGTGTCTGCAGAGCAAGTATCACAGATGCAGTGGGATTTTTTTGGAGCCTGTGTCTAGAATCCCACTGTGGCAGCCAGTATTTGGACATCAATAGTCAGGTACAATTGTCAAGCCTGAGTACTGTTGTAAAGTACTCATTAAATGATCTGCTAGGCATACAGTTGACAGTTTATTTTATTAGGCCATGGTATGGGACCTGGGGTCAGGAGAGCCTCATGACAACCTACTGTGTGTGTCACTAACCCTGAAAGAACTCCTTGGAGTAATGAATACACTCAAGAGGACCAGGTTGGGGAAGACAAAACAAAATTGGCCCCCATTTACCTCTAGCCCTCAGGGGAAATTGACTCAAATATATATTTGAAATGCCATCCCTTAAAAAGAAGTTCCTTCCATCACTATCAAACAGGCTTAATTTATCCACAGGAAAATTAATTACTTAAAATTCTGTATTTCTCTCTGCTCTAGTTTTCAGTTTACAGGGGCAGGTAAAATAAAAGGATTTGCTCATCTTTGTTCTTTAAAAACTTAACTTTGACTTTTTAACCTGTCAGTCCAAATACGTTCAAGAAAAGTAACCTTCTCTCTAGTCAACCTTCCCAATGACCGATGTAAACACACACACACACACACACACACACACACACACACACACACACACACACACACACCCAAAATCCCAGGTGTGCTGTCATCCACTTGAAGTAGTAAGTCATAGATAGCAACATCATATTCTGTCATGGGAAGGGATAGGGGAACACTCTCTCCAGATGGGTGAATGTGTTTGGTAGAAGAAAGCGTATTCCTGTGTTAAACTCAAAAGTGTGAAACAGCCAACATCTGCTATGTGGGCACTTCAAGAAATGTCTTTGCCAATATGAGACAGGCTGGCCTTCCACTATGGATTGGGAACTTTCAGGAAAAACTATTCAATAACTGAAATGAGACAGGGTAGTTCTTCTAAGTCTGCCTGTAGGAGGCTTGCCTGTCCTTGCTCTTTATTCCCATTTTCTTAACTTGAAACCAGAAATGAGTTCAGCTTGCACCCCAGGTGGGAAAGTAGGGGAGTGGGGATCTGTGTAAGTTGAAGTTTGTCACAGTAGGCAGAACAGTCGCTTTGCAGCCCAGGCCCATCTCAGGGTGCACTGCTTCACAGCTACACTGAAAAGTGTTAAAAATCCTCCCACCCACCCCAGAATATATATATATGTATATTTTTAAAAAAAATCCCCTGTCCATCTCTCAGTACACAAAAGGACCTCATCACACTGCAAAAATAGCAGTACCCACTTTGGTCAATTAAAACAAACAAACAAATAAACAAACAAACAAAAAAGCATACATTATTTCTTTTTAAATCTGTGTACTTACCTATAATAACCAATACAGCTAAAAGCACTACCTACATAGGCAAAACTTGGTATTGCATAATTCGTATAAATTTGAAACCCCTCCCCCCAAATATTAATTGGAAGATGAAAAACATGAAAGGTTAATAGAAAAAACACCAAAATACTGAAAATATTGCTGGTCGATTACAATTTTTAAGCGGCAACTATACACAGCCATGATATGCTTTATAAATGTGAGATAAAGGTGTAACTGTCTAAAAAATCCATGATGTCACACATTTTTCTTCGTCTGGAGTACAAAATATTTTGTCATAAAAATGGTAAAGATTTAAAACGATAATAAATGCAGCAAAACAAGTGTAGTGATGTCACTTTTGTGGTTTTTTTTTTTTTTTTTGTCTTTTGTTTTTTTAGATTTCAAGGCAAGGCACGTAATGTGGACATTATATCTTCGTGCAAATTAGGATTACTGGAAAGAGTACTTTAATTAAAATTTTTAAGAGACATAGAGGCAACATGTGTCTGCCCATGCACACTATGGATCTGTCAATACGAGAAATGTGTGGGACAAGGCTAATGTCTGAAAGCACCGTGCACGTTTCCAGCACCCCGATGGCACTTCTCTGAAGAGTGTGTTGTTCTATCCTATGCCCTGGCGTTCCCAGCCCGTACACTGGAAGCTTTACCCTTGTGACATGGATTTACCTGCCTCTTTGTCTCTACGATGCAGATTTTATAGAACCATTTGCACACCCTATGGGTTCTTGATGCAACCAGTAATTTTAAATAAATAATTCTACCTCCGAGGAGGCTGCAGCTAAGCCAACCTAAGTGCTGTGTTTTCATTCATTTTTTTTTCTTCCATTCAAGCACATGATTTGTCTTGATTTAATGCCTTTTTAAATGCCCTCAAAAACTGAGGGGAAAATAAATTCGCTCAAAATTATTTTAAATTCTTTTTAATCCCCTCAATTTAGAGTCCAAGGGCTAAAGGACTTATAATCACAATTCCCCTTTAGATATAAATTTATAAATTGCACTTGCCTCTGTTAAGTGTTTCTTTTGTGGGGAAAATATTATATTAAATTTTACTGTTGCATGCAGAGGTAACACTTTACCCACATAGAGGCATTTCTTCCATAGAGCCTTTGAGTTCAAACTGGTTTTTTTTTTTTTTTTTTTTTCCTATTTTTCAGTTTTTTTTTCTTTTTTAAGATTTCAAACTGGGTTACACACTGGAAAAAGGCTGGGTTAAGGGCCAAAATTTAATAAATCTGTATGGATAACTAAAGGCTACAGAGATTTAATATATATTTTTTTTTAACTTTAAGAAATCAGAGTGCTCATAAAATGGCTGGCTCATGGCTCTGTCTCCAGCACCTCTGATGCCGCCTCCTAGCCTTCGTTGGTGAGATAACCAGGAATAGTGACTCCATGCGTAAACAACAAGAATACTAACCAAGAAAACTAGCTTATCATGCAAATATTAAGGCATCTAGAAAGTCAGTTAAAATATATTGTCATAGAGACAGAACATCTATTTCCCAGCGGACTTCATGTAACAAAGGCTACGTTGCAGGGGCTGCAGTCTAGCATCAGTGAGATATCATCGACCCTTTTCGTGTCATTATAGTTTCAACCTTAAGGGAATTAGTGATTGTAAGTGCTGCAATGCTGGTCTATTGTCTTCTTTCTTCAGTTTCTCTCCTTCCTCCCTTTCGTCCAGTCTTCTTCTTTTCCTTTGCTTTGAGTGTTTTTTCCCCTAATTTTCTTATTCTATTGTTGTTTTTCTTTCCCCTCAGTTGCTTGTCTCTGCTTGAAGGAAAGGCTCTCCAATTATGTTCAACCCATAATTTTGGACATTTGCCGGTAAGATGGGTGTCCTATTTGACACTTGGAAAGGAACCAAGCTAGCCCAGGTACCAGGACTGTTGAGAGGAGAAGGATAGCAGGGAGGGAAGAGAAAAAGAAAAACACAATGTTAAAATCTCCAGTCATAAGTATACATTCTAAATGCATCAAACTACAACTATTATATGTTTTAATTTTAAATTGAACTTGTAATAAAATTTAAAAATTAATAGCATGCGCTAACTGTACTAAATTGCACACATTACACACATATATACTACATGCAACAACTTCTAGGTTATATACATCATACAGATATATACTCTATATGATCTCTTGCTTTCATGAAAAGACCTAAGATGTGGAAAAATATGAAATAGTATCCATTCACAACTGTTGAACTCTAGCTGATTAAGGATATTCTTTTTCAAATATCTGGTCCACTTCAATGTAATAAGTAGATTATGGTTTTTATTGTTCAAATGAAGAAAAAGAAAGGCAGAAATTTCTAGTGATACCAGACCATTGTAGCTTGCTAGATACATTAATTGGGTTTAACCTTTAATTCATAAGACATTCTGGGTAAGATGGGTTTGTCTGCTTATTAGGTTACATAAATTTAAAAATGGAATGAAATATATATCCTTTCCTCTCACAAGAGAATAATATATTTTCAGGCAGGTCTACATCTAGTATGCAATTTGAAACACCTAATTATCATACATAACTGAAGAGTTTTAGACAACCAAATGTTTTCTATACTGGAGGACCACGTGGATCCCAGCTTGCTACACTGTGTGCAGAAGCCCATTGTGGAGGGTGCAGCAGAGGGAGGATATTGGGTTCTCTGTTGTTTTTCTGCTCTCCTCTATAATTTTCCTTACACAGAACCAAATCTTTCCTTTCAATTCATTTTTCTTCACATTGGCCTGAGCATTCCTAGCCTTTGCCACCAGGAATGGTAACACAATTGGAATTGTACATTTGAGACCAGAACGATAAAGGGAGTAACCTGCCCTAGCAGTCCTATCTCTCACCAGCTGGCTGTGCAACAGCCTATGCTGGCCTTGGGATTTAAAATCAAGCTCGAACAAAATTTCTCTAGTTGCTACTGACATACTTTCTCAAAAAAGTTTCATATGGAGCAAAGAAATGCCAGATTTACACCACCCCATACATTTTTGTATTATTTGTACTGATAATCAATTTGGAGAATAACGTCAGATGTATCACTATACCAAGGAAACATCATACAAACAATTCTTCCCCCAGTTTAGCGATGGTCTGGTATGGCATATTCTCCAAGCTTTAAATTTTACTTAGTATCCTCTACTGTTGGAATTATAGGTGAGATGGAGTCTATTACTGACCTATCTTGTCATTATTGTGGCTAGCAATCTGGAAATGCCCATCTATTTGACTCTTAAAGTCATAAGAAACATCATGGCAATTAACACAAAGAAACAATTTTAGATTAAGAAACCAAAAATATAACATAATTTACTCTGAAGATAACTCAATATAAAACATGGCTTATTTGTACCTGTCTACGTATGTATTGCCCAGAAAAGCTTCAACAGAAAAGAAACCAGTGATATTTTCTCAAGAGTTTTATGATTAGACAACCAGATCAATACCAGCAAAACTTGACTTTTACTTTGCTAATCATTTAGCACACAACCTAGCATATGGCAGATGTGTTACAAAATTTGGGACTAATAAATCAATGGCTTGAACTCATACTCAGCTATTTTGAAAAAGTGCTAACCTTGATTATATGAATTTATGAACACATTAACATCTGAATATTTCTGAATTTAAAATTTAGATGCCCCATACAACGTTTATGCAGAAAAAAAACACAACACACCAACTTACATATCTTTCTTAGTTGATGAATTACCCCAAGTCTAAAGACTGAATATTTTTACTGAAATCTTTTCTGAGAGATTTGACTGTTTTTCACATATTTTCTCTCTTCCTACACACATCTTCAGAATTATTTCTGTAGTTTGTATCATTGAATGTTACGTAATGCACTAAGAAACTTATTTTCACCTCAACTATGCTTCACTGCACTCTGTACATAGTTCTATTACAGCACTTATTACATCATATCACACTCATCTGTTATCTGCAATTATCTTACTGACTGAAAGGTGAATGCCACAGGAAAAGAATGGCCCAGTCTTATCTAGCCGTATAGAGTCTGCCTTAGAGAAGACTGTTTCTTAACAATAAGGCTAATTACAAAATAGCCATATATTATTTTTAACCTAAAGTAAGCAATGTCAAAAGTAAACTGTCTAGTTCAAAAGATAGTGCTTGGCAAAAAAAAAACCAACCAAACAAAACAACAACAACAACAACAACAAAAAAAAAAGCATCAACAACAAGACACCTTGAGAAATCAACAAGAATCCCCAAATAGATGAGCTCCACAGAGTCATCTAGAGATTGACTGCATGCTTTGGAGAGAGTGTATTAATGATTGAAAAATAAGTGTGGCTCCTAAAAAGACAAATTTACCAAGTACACGGAGAAAAAATAAGAATCCAGAACAAATGGCTGGTCATTACATACAGAGAATCCATGCTCTAGAATGTATAGCAAATTTAATTTACATGTTTAGTTAATCCTTCTGAATCTCTTAGCTTGCATAATGGCCATACCAACACTGCACAGTGTAGGTATATTTTTCGATACTGTTTATGAATCTTTACAGGAGAATAAACCTATACAAGCCTCTTATCACCAATCCATAGGTTAAATTCAGAACTATAAGGGACATTCTTTAGAGCTTTAACAGCAGTTCCCAGATGGGGAAACAAATCCAGAGAAAAGTAACTCAATGCCTATACAGCAATGTTAAATGTTAAACCAAACTAGTTCACTTAATCAAAAAAAAAAAAAAATACAACACCTAAGGATTTTATAGTTCTTCACTGAGAATGCATTAGCACCATCATGCTGAGAAGCCCAAATGAATGCCAGTATCCACTCCCACACATGTACACAGGTAAACTTGGTATGTATAAAATATGTCTTGATTTTCATTCATGGGGGAGAGAAAAATTCTATGAATTATTTTGTGTTCAATTAAAAGAATCTATACTTTGACTAGTGAGAGGTTTACTATATAAGTGAAAGGATTCCCAAAACATTCAAAGTCAACTTCAAACTTGCATTTGCTTTCTTATCATTAGATTTTCTAAAGTCAAATCACCTTTACATGAACTAAAGATGCATCTGTCTGAACCTGATAACATATATTTAGAAGAATTTGCTGCCCATAACCACTGGAAATAAAAGTAGTAAAAAAGGGTACAAGCATGAAAAATAACAATCAAAAAGTTCAAAAGACTTTGGCACCACCATAAAACAAAACACTGCTCATCCTGATGACATCCATGGTGAGACATTATACACAAGACATAGGAGAGCTAAATCAAAATTTAAGAAAGAAAATGTCAGATATCTTGGAGAAAATATTCACTTTACTGTGGTCATCTGTGTAAAACTGACTCTCCCCAACAGGGAAAACATAAGCCAATTCCTTTAACTTAGAAGACAGTCAGGGAGTGAGTGATGGCCCTGATTCATTTCACACTGGAGTCTCATCTTTGTTGAAGAAATTCAATGAATCATTTAACAAACTGTTTCGGGGCAATGGGGAAGACGTGGCAATTGAATTAAAAATGATTCAGGGTTCTGAATGATTCCATTCATAGGACTAGAACAAAGGTAGACATTGCTAGATAACAGGCAGGTGAACAGAAGGTACCATCTTTGGTGTTTCAGCTCTTAAAATGGCCACCATTATCCACTCTCACAGGTAAAGGAAGTAAGGCCAACCTCACCCACATAGTCCTCAGATAACAGCAATTCTGTCTGTGTCCCATGGCCATTTCACTATGATACATTGCCTCCCTTCAAAGTGACATATTGGTCTATCCTCGGCAAGAAATTTTAGAACAGAATTATTTTAAGGCAAATGTATTTGCTTTAATAAACTATGAATTTGCCATATGCTATACAAACTATGTCACAACCATGTCAGTGCTGACAAAGAGAATACGCACTGAGCGAGGAACTGGCTCGTCAGAGGCAACAATCTCAAATTCTCCAGAACTGTCTTTTCAGGAAGCAAAAATAGTTCTCAGGTAACTTTACAGTGAAAGCTAAGATGGAATATGGTTCGAAACTATCAAGAATATTGAACAACTAATAGAGCCAGAGATTTGGCAGGTCATACTTTTAAAACTCACTCCTTATATACTTCTTAAATCTGGATAAACTGTAGATAGATGTTCCACTAAAGGAGTAAATAGATTCTTTATCTTTCAATGAAAGAGAAAAAAAAAAAATGCAGTGGATGCCAAAGCAACATCTGTTGGTCATTTAAAAAAAAAATAAATAAATAAATAAAAAGAAAATCATTCATCCAGTAACTGTGCCTTCAAGGCCAAAAGTGATTGGTTCTTTGGTTTTTAACACAATAACCAACCAAAACTAAAGGGTGTCAAATAAACATAGATGAAGTCATTAAGTTGAGGCCCCATCCAAAGTAAAAATAAATAAATAAAAACTTCACCCATTAGTCTTAGGTCACTAAAACAGTGAGAGGTGTTTGAAGAATACCTCAATCCACATATTATTAATTGATGCTCATTTCATTATGAATTAGGCATTCCAACTGTTAGGTCATAAAATTCCAGTATTCTAATTATACTTCTACCTTCCAAGGGAATCCTAAGATTATCTATTTAGATTTGCTTCAAAGATTATAGGTACTCTTTTAAGAAACTTGAGAAATACTAAGTAATAGGGCACAAAGAATTGGTAGATTTACAAAAAGTCCAACCATACCAATAGTCAGATTGTTAATGGGTAGTGATAAAACACACAATGACACAGGAAGCATGAAGACCATATAAAATGATAATTGCCTCCAATTCCTTTGCACCAATTTCAGGTATCACCTTTTTTTTTTTTTTTTTTTTTTTTTTTGGCCAAGCAATAATTTTATTGAAAATTACTCATACTGGTTTTAGTGTCAAAACATACAGCAAAGGAT